ACACGAGTTAAATTAGCTCAGCTTAGTTCGGTTTTTAAGTTAGTTTAAGCAATCAGTAACCATGCACTTTCACGCGGAGGTTTTGGTCGTTGTCTCTCGGCCGCCCGTTTGGACGGAGGTGTACAGGGAAGACTGGGATGTTGAGAGCTGTGTCAAAGGGACAATGGAGCATTCCCGTAACCTAGGCCTACAAAGTCGAGAAGATGCACAGGCGTCACTGTTTGCGACACTCAGCCATATCACTCACTGTCTCTAACCACTGATTACAAACATTCTGATGTGCCCCTCCAGGGAGTCTAACGCAACCAGTATGACCGAATATCGCTGTTAGGATCTTTATACCCTCACGCCAGTTCTTAGTCTGACAGTTCCTGACATTTTCCACCCATCACCTGTCTCGACAAACGTCGTGAACCGTGACAATTTGTAGCTGATGACATGAGCAATACGCCCGAACCAACGAAATTTATGGACAACGACCACCTACTCTAGTGGGCGACGGCGACCACCTAGAACTCCACTCCAAATCTCGGCATTGCTTGTCCGTTTGCCGCGCCAGATTCGTGCAATACTATATAGATAGGGACTTTGAATATTGTCAGTTTATCTTTAGCCTGTTTTCGTAATAGCCCAGTTTCTGCACCGTATGGCAACATTAGCCGAATCACTGCAGCCCATACTCGATTCTCGAGGAAGCACAAGCATTAGAAAGTGCGATATGTATTACCGTACACCGGAACAAACGATTAGAAGAGGGGTCCCCCACTTACTTTCAGGAATCCGAGGATAGATGACCCGCTGACAACCAACGGATTGTACTCGGTACTGGAAGCCAGATCTTCAAATGAGTTGATCGGATAGGCAATCTTTTTGTGCGTAAGAAAAGCGGTCACGTCTGCTTTCCATCCACAGAACAAAGTGAACACCATGGCCCAGTAGGATAAAAGCAAAATTCGGCCAGACGGGGAACGAGGATAATAGAGCGTATCTGGTCTCGACCAATTGTTGAACAACATGGAACCACGTACATAGGGAGGAGACAGAAACACGGTTGAGTGAGAGAGCGAATGTGTATGTGCCCAAACAATTATTTCCACATGCATGCACTGTTTCGATGACTATAAGTGACTCTGTTTTGCACTTATTTACAAGCTGGCCATACGAGTTGGATGTTTGTGCATACGTTCTCCTCGCAAACTGACACCCGATACTGCTTATCCATACCTTTTTGGGGGACCGATCGAACTAGTTTAGGGATAGACTCGAAAATCACCCTCTGTTCGTGATTGCGGTCTGCGGACCAAAGAGGCGCAATCTACCAGTTAGGCCACGTGGTGACGATAACCTTGCTGTGCACGGTCAAAGTTCACTGGGCAGTCTAATTATTCGAGGCGATCGAGAAGATAACGGTTATCATGCGTGCTAGCCGGGCGAGCGTCACGACTGTTGTAGCGTGTAGAAGCAAATAAGTAAGCAAGCGATGAGTTAAGTAGTAACTCTATTTCTATATCATTTCAACTTCAAGGGAATCCGTGTAACTTCAAGTGAATACAACCAATCGCATTATACTGGGAATCCCACAAAATGATTGGTAGCTCGGCCGTCAAAGCTCACCCATTGGACCGGGTCTGTCTCAACCCCGTCCGGTCTCTGTAAACAATCTAAAGTACTTTTTAAGTGGGTTACCGAAACTGGATGAAAGTTTCCGTGGGATGGGTTGGGCTGTCCGTCTCCCCCCCCCCCCCCGACCCACTGAAACGTTATGTCCGTGATTGTTGATCGAATGTGTGCCATAGAATGAACAAACCCGGCGGTAATTGACCTCAGTCGGTCGGGTAAAGAAGTGAATCACGTCAATCCGGGTGGATAAATTTGTCACCACGCAGAGACGTGAATGTCGAGATGACTCTTGCATAAATGGATTTAGTCTAGGCCCTCAATATCCTAATGAGTAAATGTCATTGAGGCCGTGATTCCCTCAAACAACACCGATCCCTTTGATTAAAATGAGATTGTCTATTTATTTTTGACACTGAAAAACACGCTAAACGAAATACTTAGCAATGGTACAAGGATACGGTGAAAGCATTAACAGTATTTCACCCGAATAGTAAGGTCAAATTCGAACCTATTCACTGGCTAACACAAATCACATTTTTCTCTTTCATTCCCGGGATGACTACTACATTCAATGCACAATCACGGAAATAACGTTCCCGGGTAGGGCGGGGCGGGGGGAGAGCAACCCACTCCACCCCATGGGGACTTTCATCCTCGCTCGGCAACTCACTCAAAAAGTACTTTAGATTATTTACGGACACTGGACGGGGTTTAGACAGATCCAGTCCAGTCGGTTACATTTGACGGCCGAAACACCAATCATCTTGTGGGGTTCCCAGTCTAATGTGATTTGTCGGATTCATTTGAATTTAAAAACTTGTAGTATGTAAATGTAAACGTGGCCAGCCCGTAGGTCGGTGAACAAGCAGTACATCAACACGCAGTTAGGCCAAACTGACGAAAGCGTTACCAAAAGGAGAATGTCGTCAAGCTGGGCAGTCAACGAACCGATCAATGCGGACAAGTCAATACTGACCTCTGATTCATTGAGTCGGATCGTCCTTGTAATAGAGTAAGTCCGCTTGACGAGCGAATGTGCGTGTGGTGGCTGGCTGCAACGGTCACTCATGTGATGTGCGGTGAACATTTCACTTGACTGCAGGCCAAAAGAACTACCTTCGATACGGTTATCTTTTCCGGTTGGTAGATGAAATAACTTAATCGATCTACAGTGATTGTCTGACCCTTACGGGGAACAAGGAAATGCTAGCATACTATTTTCATTGCAGATTACCTTATCTAACTTGTGTTAGTCTTGGTTTTCGCCTCTCACACTGTACTTCTCGATGAGCTCTTTATTTTATCAACAGTAGCTTGTGAACAAGCACGGTATCAATGTGACTACAGTGATAATATTGGGTGCAAACGAAGAGACATTCCAGATGCAAATAACCATGAGAATAGGACGAATATCAATATTATTTTGTTCATTTTGTGGTACATCTTTTGACCTTTTATGTAAGTCGTGGGCAAGCAAAATACTAGATGGAGCTTTCGGAAGCAGTTCAGCCTGATGCTTTAAACCAAATAATCACTATTTCCATTGAACAAGCTACCGCGAGCAATATCACCATTGCTCACCCTTTATTCTCGGAAGCCTCAGTATGGCCGGAGGTGGATGTCTAGAGTTGCCGCTAATCACCATTCCCTTGCACCTTTCGAAATGCTCTCATAGGACCAAGCGTCCCAAACAGCCTCTTCTGAGGAAGTCTTACTCACTCCCCTCTCGTGGTGGAGTTGTTTTCCCGCCAAAGTGAGAGGACAAAAAGCCGACATCCGGAGCTATAACCGGGGTTGATGGACGACCACTGGTAGTTCACCTAGGGGAGTTGGCCAAAGCCTGATTCCAAACCCACCAAGAGGAGGCGTACGAACCACACCCACACTTTTCCTGTTGTGGCAGTGGTCACCGGCTCGATTGAGCATCGAAG